AAAAGCTTTCAATTACCAACTTTCAAAATCTCGTAACGTGGTCGAAAATGCTTTTGGGCAATTGGAAGCAAAGTAATTAAGTGAATATAGAAGTGGTCGTTAAATACACTTATTATTTTAACATATATGTATACAAATTTAGGTTTCGCCGGATCGGAAAAGGAATTGATAACAGAGTTGATAATGAAAATTCTATTATAAAGGCTTATTGTGCTTTGCACAACTTTTTAATAGCAGAAAATGACCCAGTTACACCTTCTTGGCTTAACGAGCAGCACGCTAATGATATTAGGAGAAGACAACCACAATCCGTAGACTCGCACCAAAACTTAGCAGAAGCTGAATCAATAAGAAATGCGTTCTGTTCATATTTCAGTAAGTTAATATCACGTTTATTTCAGTTCATGTCTTTTTATCTTGACGCTTGAACTTTTAGCTTTAAAAACGGAAAAGGGTACTCTGGAAAAATGGTATCACTATTGCAAATCCAAAATGTACTTCAAAAATGTAAACAAAATAATTCAGTCCAATTCTCAAAACCTTACTTACTATTTCCTTAAAATCTATATACTTTAAATCTACTTCAAAAATGTAAACAAAATAATTCAGTGCAATTCTCAAAACCTTATATACTATTCCCTTAAAATCTACTTCAAAAATATAAACAAAATAATTCAGTCTAATTACTACATACTATTTCCTTAAAATCTATTTAAGAAATCAAGTATTCCGTCCGTCAGCCTTCTTGCATCCCTCTGCTGTTCTTGCATTGCGACTAGCTTTGCCTTTTCTATTTCGACCAATTCATCGTTCGATTTTGTAAATTTTTCCATAGCCTCCGAAAAATTGCTTTGGATACCCTCACAAATCGTCACTAATCGATCCATCTTTTTTTGTTTTCCAGATCTGGTAGATATTGCTGCGCTTGATATTGATGGGCGAAGTATTTCCCCTCTGGATCCTGACGGCAGTGGTGATGAACACGACGGTGATGGCGCGATACCGACTAATCAGTTTAGTTGCCTTTGGCGATTAACCAAAGAAAGTGTTTCTTTTTAAACTGTAATCAATTACTTAAATGTCGTGGAATATTCGGGTGAAGGTATTTATCGTTTATTTGGTACTTTATATTTTCTTGCCAAAAAATTTTATTTGAAATGTAGACGCTAAAAATGATTAGTAAAAGTGTGAATACCGGTCCGTCAGGTCTTGAAATTAGACGAATGTTTTAGAGAATTTTATGTAGTTTTCGAATATATAATTTGATCTTTGCGCCCTACTTTGCAAATATATGTAATTTTTGATTTTCTTAATTTTAGATTTCCAGCTTCTTTTTGCATAATTTCGCGAAAGGAATTTTGCGAATAATGAAAAAATCTCACCAAACATTGGGAAAAGAGCGAGTATTTACACCTAAAACTATGTTCACATATCAATATTATCTCAAACAAAGCTCGTTTTTTAATCACCCCGTTTACACAGGCAAATCTCAGATTATTAGCCGTCAAATTTGTTGTGCTTGTTATTCTCACATCTCAAAGAAAGGTTATGTTTCTTCTCTGTGCCACCGTGATCACGTTTTTCTGCTATAATAAGCAATATAAATATATTTTAACTTAACATTTTATTAAAAATACCTTTACAAACCTCTTTTACTTGCTAGCGTACATTTTTGTTTACTTTTACATTTGGCATTTCTCTTCTCTTTCGCAAAAACAATCGATAAAACTAGGATGGACACCGAAAAGTTATCGGTTAAATCTGAGATTATTTTATAATTACAGATTAACAAGGGCCGAATTTTATATCGCTAATCTTTCGTTTTAATTACAGATTAGGGTGTTAAGCTCGAAAATGAGGATAATCTACTTATATATGAACCTAGTATAAGTCATTTTATAGTATAACCTTTGTTTTCTGAGAGTGGAAAGCAGGAAACAAAAATTAACCAAAATTCCATCATATTTAATGACTGGGCCCACATTTTTTGTGAGTTTTGGACGTTATGGTGATCTAATCTTCTCCATACTTTATATTTAGGTTTTTCTAATAAAATAAGGACTACAAACTAAATTTCATCGAAATTGGATGAAATTTTATCTTTCCGCTCGCAAGAGTAGAGGGCGTGGCAATCATTCCATCTTTACAAAATTTCATAATTCACTATTTCTAAGTAAAACTAGAACACATGTCAAGTTTCAGTGAAATCGTTGCAGGTGTACTATTATTTCCACCTGCCTCCATATAGTCGAAACACTGTGAGTCGTCCCCATACCTGCCGTGGCCTTCCTATGGAAAAAACATTAAAGGAATACATATTTTTTATAACTTTGGAATGACTATAGTTACCTATATTTCGCCGTCAAATTGTCAATCTTAATTTTTACAGATGTGGAATTGACATCATATCCTTGCATCTGCATTTCTGCCGCCATCTCCTGATAGACATGGCTGTTTTTTCTGGGCCCCCCCAAGTCATCCACTTTTTGTTGCCACAACATTACAAATACCTCCTCTGCATCTGCGGTCCAAAGATTTCGCGATCGCTTCATTTTTTATTATTAATATTTATAAAACTTTATTTAAATGCGCACAGGAAAAAACCATCATCAAATATGCATGTATCAGCAAAACAAAATGTCAACAAATATTTATGTATGTTGTTCCGAATATTATTCCGAAATAAAAGTCCTTTCCAGATAATAAACAAACCGCTTATCCAAATTAAACAAGTTTGGTACCATATTAAAGAGGACTTTAATATCTTTATAACTGAACGAGGAAAGCCATATATTTAAAAATATTTCATTAAAAAATGTTAATCAAGTCCCATAGAACAAAGCTTGTGTCAGGTATATGCATTTCTTTAGTATTAAATTATAAAAAAAAAATAAAAATTAAGATCGTTCGTTAATTCTGTTTAAAATCTATTTCATTCCTCTTTCATATGATACCAAATTTGTTTCATTTCGACAGACGGTTTGTTTATTATCCGGAAAGGACTTTTATTTCGGAATTACATTCGCAACAACCCTGGTATGTACACAGAAACAGCAAAACTTATTACAAAAAAAAAATTATTATTGAAATACAAAGTCATATTGCATCTAACTAGTGCGCTCAATCACATATTTAGTTTTTATAAGTTTTTTATATGCACATGTTACATTAAAAATAGGAATTATAAAAATCACAGCGTTTATACTTCACACAAATTCAGAATATTATGAAGTACTTTTATACTACACTTACATACTTATGTATTTATGTACATATTTTTATACTACATTTATATGTACATATATGTTTAATGAGATCAACAAAAATTCAGTAGTCTTGGTTTTCAAGGGACGTCTTCGTTAAAAAACATGGAAACAAATTAAAAATAGTACAGCATTAAAATGAGTCTTTAGATGACCAAACATAGTTAGAGCCGCCTGTGTTTCTCCTTGCAAAGCATTATATCATTCAACGTTGAAAATTCGAATCGATTTCTTAATTTGGTTTTTATAAGAGACATCAAATGGAAAACAAAATCACTTAGCTCTTTAAAGCAACTGTCTCCTAATCCATTTTTTAAACTCTTTACCGTTTCCCAAAACTCTGTTATGGGAAGCTTGGAATTAAGACTTTTGCTTTGGAAGCGTAACAATTTCCATTGTGTCGTAAGTATGTCTACATCACATGGAACTAAATATGAAAAATTGTTAATAACTGGAAAAATTGGTTTTTCTGATAACGCTTGGTTTGGTATAATTATTGAAAGGCACTTCAGGTCGTCTCTTCTAAAATCGAACCGTTTTCGCATGCCTCAAAAGTTCTAAAATAAAATTACGGATGTTTGTTTTAAGAGCGATTCTTTGTGAGTCATAAAATAAGTCTGATGCCAGGAATGCTTCCGCTTTACTTCCAATGAAAACGTCTTTAGTGGGCATAAAATTGTGTTCATCACAAACGTCAAAGTTTTGTAGGGTACTAAGATTTTTTAAAACGTTATCTTTAATATAATGCGACAAAAATAATTTGAAATGTGTTTCGAATCGGGAATGTAAATATGGCAATCGGATTTTTTCGGATTGAAACTCCTTATTCAAATCATTTGTTATTTTCAGGATATATGATAAGAAAAGCAAATATACTTTAATTTAAGAATTCATCATTATGTTATACGAATTAGTCGTATAGTTTTATTCCATTTACCTCAAGAACACAATTTGTAAAATAAAGCCGTAAAGGAGCCCACTGCTCAACAATTCGCCCGATGACACTTTCTAAAGAAAGCCACCTGGTTGATGCAATACCTAAAAGTTTATGTGGCTTTACACCACAATATTCCTGGAATTCTTTAAGTTCGCAAAGTTGCAGGCAAAGTTTTGCAAGCATAACTGGAGCATAAATACGGTGACCATATTTTTGCGAGCCGAATATGGGACAAAAAATAATTTTTCTAATTTTTTGCATAAAAGCTAGCAGACCTTATTAGCCCTGAAACAGCATCCTTATAGTAACATCACAAATTTTTAGGATATCTTTCTCGAGATTTTTACCCTACAAAATTTTTTTACAAAAAAAAAAAAGATACATTTTAATACGATAAAGTGCAAGTTTTAAGTAGCTAGGACTTACCGTTAATTTTTGGCAATTTTTTTTGTCGACGGTGCTACGCATTTTTTTATACAAAATCAATATTTTTGACAACTTGTTGATAGGGAAGCAAATGAGCAGCACGTTGCACTTTCACTTTATTATACTAAATTTTAATGAGCTACAAGTGATTAAAAAGTTTGTAATTTTGGTGAACATTTGCAGAATTAATTCTTATAGTTTTTGCAGCAAGTCGGAAATTTCGAATTACATATATGGTTTTTGTTAGGAAAAGAGATCTTCTTAAAAAAAAAAATAATAAACATTAAATAAACAAAAGAAAAACCTTGCTAAAATATAGAATCCTAATATATATTTTGGTCACTGTATGTGTTCCTCGATTCGAAGCACACGCATTCAGACTGGTTCATAAGCATGCCATTTTAATGAGCTTTTAAGGCCTCGAAAAACCGAACCCCGAAAACGCGACAAATACAGGACATTAAAAGAAATACAGAACATTTGGCGTCCCGTATAAAATAAATTATTTGCCAGGACAAGTGGTCCAAAAAGAGGACTGCGCCGTATAATACAATACGGATGGTCACCGTAAGCATAAATGTAAACTGTGACATTTACATTTCTGATATAATATCTTTGAATTTTTAAATTTTGTCTTGAACACATTAAAGTCTCTTGTCATAATACTAGCTACATCAGTGGCCAGCCCAATTAAATTTTCCATAGGGATACGATTTGCAGAAAAAAAGTTTTTTATAGATTCATAAATTGACTGAGCATCACTTTGAAACAACTCGATTAGTGCAAGAAATCTATCGCGAATTTCATTTGCAGATGTGTCAAAGTATCGTACGACCAGCACTAAAGCTTTCCTTGTGGTTAAGGGTCTGATTATGCATACTTCGCATAACTTCGCACAACCATTTGTACCAGTGAAATAAAAATGTAACTTAAGAAAATGTGAAGCAAAATCTAAACTCAACAGATTGCTAAGTTTTTAAAAGTTCTGCTAATTTCTGGATAATGGAATACAAACAAAGTACGTGCAAAGTACATACTAAATTACAATTTGAAGTTTATGCGAAGTTGTGCGAAGTTATGCGAAGTGTGCATAATCAGACCATAAGTCAGTGGTCTCGTCAACTATAAGGGAACTTTGCTTGTCCTTAAATGGTAGAATTTTTTCTTTAGACTTTTCCGCAAGAGTTGCTGTTATATGCGTTGACTTGGTTCGCGCACATTTCAATTCTTTAGGAAGTTTGGAATCAGGACAGCAAGTGTATAACAATGTTGGAAAAAAAATCCATGAGAAGAAACGGAAGGTTGTGGTTTATTCAAAACATTACTAACGTATATTCCGCATCGCGAATTTGTTTCATTAGACAATAAGTGCTTTGGCTTGAGGAAGCAAAATTATCAATTTTAACCTGCTTACTTTTTACGTCAACGTTTTTCTTGTGGACAGCTTTTTCTTGGTGCAGTTTCAAGTGTGAAGCGTGATTCATTAGAGTATTTTCGCATGCTCTAACAAACGCTTTGCCGTCTCGTTCTTGAAGCCAGGAAAAGTTAGTAATCCACTCTTTTCGAAACTTTCGTTTGTCATTTTGCATCGTCTCTTCACTGAAATTTATATTATTTTGAGCATTTAGAATTTTTAGAGTTAAAATTTAATATAAAACATACCCAGTGCTTTCATTACTTTAGACTTCAGTTCCCCAATCCCCATTGGTTTGCTTAATTGAGACTTCAGGTCCGCCTCCATTATCAACTTTCGCTTTTTTTATTAAGTACCTGAAAAAGTTAAAAATATGCATATATTTTCAAATGTAGAAAGGAATATCAGTCAAATCATATATTATAGAACTAGTTATACAAAAATTATTACTTATCAATGGTGCAAAAGCCACATCAACTTTGGTACTGCTAACTGGTAACCGGCAAAATCACTGTGAAGCTGGAATTTCACAAAAATCATATACTGTCACATATGCACACTAGTTATTTATACAATTGAAATTATTATTATTATTTATTAATTAATATAATTAAAATTACAAAATTAATATAATAGCACTAGCTACCATGGCTATCGGCTTAGTCAAGAGATAATATATATAAACGTAATGTGTATTTATATTAGATGAAAGATGTTTAAAGACTTAAGAAAGTTAGACATTAATATGATATTTGATGCAGATGGGAGGGAGAGGACATTGAGCGGGTGTGCGTCTTCGAACGCTTTTGTGCGTATAGCGGCAATACCTGAGCAATGCAGTAGAATGTGACGTGTGGTTAAGTTGGCAGTGTTGCAGAAGGAGCATGTGGGCTGAGAACTTCTTGTAAGAAGGTGTTAGTGTGTGAGGAGAGCATGTCCTAGTCTTAGGCGAACGTAACATCTATTCATCCATGTTGTTGTCGTAGTAGGTAGTGTTA